GCTCAAAGTCAAATATTAATAAAATGTGTCTGACCAACTTATAAGGTGATACACAGTGACTTATGGCAAAGTTATGTGCTTTACTGAACTGTAATTCTACTGATTTGTCACATGCACTGATTAATAAGCAATTTAATGTCATTGTTGCAGATAAAATACAATATTAAATTTGGAATGATACAAAGTATATAAGAGGTTCAATGATTAGATGTCTAGTCATAATACATGAGTTTCCTAAATAGTAGAAACCAACATTCGGGAGCAGTGTTACTCAAAGATAGCAGGTTGTCAAACCATAACCAGTCCATGGTAAGATATGCAGTCTGTTTCAGAATGTAATCAACACTGAAAATGTCTATGAAGAAAATAACTACACTACACAGTACACTTAGTGACATGGCTGATTTACATTCCAAGGCAGATTCTTACCATCTTGTCACTGACAGTTTGAAAGTCTGCACACCACACAACGAACAGCTCAACTCTAGAGCATGAATGCACTCTTTTAAGAAGAAATGTATACACAGAGACACAATCAGTTTTTACGAAACACTTAAAATGTGTAAATACCTGTTCCTGCAGGTCGTAATCATAGCTGTCATGCAGTAGAAGACTGAGGACATACCGAGTATAAATCATGGCATCGATGCCACATTTTTCCAGCTCTTGTCCCAGCCAGGTCTGCACTGGACCCAAAGCATGAAGCAGAGACATTTCAGAAACAGACATAGGACCTGGATAAGAACTTGAGGAGCTTTCAGATGGCAAACCATCCACAACAACTGTACAGACAGGGTGCATGAATTTAGGTTGCTAACATTCTTAAAATGCGAAGCATTTTCTGTAGTTGATATTCTGTTGGTATCTGGAGGGGATTTTCACTCCAGTAAAAAGGAGAGATGCTTGACATCTAGGATAAGCATTTACTTTTGCTGGTAGTCAGCCACCTAAAACAGAATTTCCCTCTTCAGGCATGACCAATGAATCAACATCCTGATAGCAACATACATGTAGATGCGATTTTCTGCTTTAATTTCACATTGAGGCCAAATGGAAGTCTCCAGCAGAACCTACAAAAATGAGAGAGAAATAAAGTACATGCATTATATATAAATTAAATTATTGATCTTTTTAAAAAAATCAAATGAACTGTCCTCTTTGTTAAAATATCTTTGGTATCTTAGAAAACCAATTTTTCCCCCAACCTCTAACATTTTAAACGTTTAAAATGAAGCACAGTGCGGTGGTGC